CGCCCACTACTTCGGCTTACACGTTAGCGCACGTGTATGAGGTAGCGTAGTTTGCTTAACTTAGATTAATTATACTTCTTTCCCCGAAACAACATTGAAAACAAAAAATTTATTGACCAATCAAATGCGAGCAGAAACATATATCAGCCAATCATCGTCCTAGAAAAATGTATTCAATCAGACACATTTCTACGTCGATCATTCAGTCGTAGAAAAACATCTGAAAGGATGGAGACGCCACCAAGGCACCGAAGGGCGAGTGCGCCTCGTGCGGTAAGCTGGTGTCTAAGTCGAACATGGCCAAGCACCGTAAGGTGTGCGGCAAAAAGAAGGCACCAAAGACGCGCAAGGTCATCAACCGTGAGTCTTACAAGCGCCATAAGGACAACATCCTGAACAAGCGCTTCGAGCAGAGGGCGTTCAACCGGTTTCGTCGTCTCGAGGGTACTTTTTAATTTATTGTATTTTATTATATTTTTTGTTAAATTCTAATATAAATATTGCAGTTGCCAGAGAACAGCTAGTCACGTTGAGCAATAAGCCTCTCGGTGTTGAGCCCATAAAAGTGAAGCACTGGACCCCTGCATCAAAAACGAGCCTTCTTCACGGTATTAGTAAGGATCCGAATCTCTTTGCGTTCTGTCTTAACCCTTTCGCGAGCCACTTTGGTAAACTATAGTATAAAAATCTAGGATAGTCGGTATCAAAAGAAGGCATTTTGCCTCCTTTAAGGCGAGGGATGGACCACCTTCATATCTTCGAAGTGTGATTGGTTTTTCTATGCCCATAACGACCTGTCGTAAACGTAGTTAATTATAAAAGGAGGTATTTTGCCTCCTTTGATATGGATACATCGTCGTCCTTAGTTGAAAACCAGGAAAAGAGAGCACTTTGCTTCCTTTTATCGCGAAAGAGTTAACACTCTTCGGGAGCGGTGCAAGAAATTGTACAAGTTCGGACCTGCTCACGTGGAGTGGCTCAAGTTCTACAAGGCGATAATGTTCAGTGAGAAGATTCATTCGACGGCATGCGACTTTGATAGTTCGACGCAAGAGATGTACGACTTCAAGCTTGAAACGGTAACTGCGTTCAATCAATTGAAGACCCAACTCGAAGCTGACACGGTCGGCCTTACAGAAGACGTTGCGGCCGGCCTATCGGATGCAGCATACGAGAGTTAGATGAACCGAATTCGTAGGGCCCGACGGGACAAAGAAGAAGGTGGAACCAAGTTTAGCCATCTCCAAAATCGGTTGCGTATGTACCGCAAGCGAGTGGAAAAGCACCTCGCATCGGTTTCTCTCCTTGTAGCCAACTTTCAAGCGAAACAAGAGAAAGCTCAAGCCGTGCGAGACGAGGAACTTGCCAAGCTGAAAAAGGTCATCGAGGAGTTCGAGAGTAAAGGGCCGTGTGCGACGTATGAAGAGTTCAAGGAGTCCGAGAAGCATCGTAGGTCTGATGCCTAATCAGGCAAGAGTAGGGAAGTGACTATCCCCCCTGATATAAAAATGATGAATTCTACGAGTTCCACCAGTAACCTGATAGTTTTAAATACCAAAAACTACGCGCTTGTATGAAGTAGTACGAGACAGTCATACCAAAAACTACGAGTTCGTATGAAACCTTCTTCACAGAGAAGTACAATACTCTGGTAGATCCTCCGCTGGTCGGGTATTGTCGATACGGTTCTTGCGGTCCTTTCTAATGAAGGAAGCTAGCATCGCGTTTGTTATCGTAGTCGGTGCGTCAGCGTTTTCAACCATTACGTAGTTTTAGTGTAGTAGGCACGGTACACTGGGAGCACGTTCTTCTTCCACAGCAAGTGGTCAGTTTCTCCAAGAATATTGGCGACCAGACCTCTATCTTCACCGAGCAATTTTGCCACGCTGTACCAGCTCCTTGTCAATCCAGCATTTGTACGTTCAGCCAATGTCCACATTGACAGCGGCTTGACCAGATGAAGCGATTTGTCATGAATCCACCACATTAAGCACAGTTGTGCCCAGTCCTGAAGCGCAGGAACTACGGATGTGTTTGGTGGTTCAGGTAGCTCTTCCTCCGCACGGTCCTCAGAGCCGTCTTGGACACTGGAGGAAGGCGATAGTGTGGATGGAGCCGCTAGTTTATTGATTTGGGCTTTCATTTCCAACATCAGATTTTCCAGGCGTCGAAGGTGTTTGAGAACTGGTCCTTCTTCCGTATTCTTGGCGGCTTCGTATGGGGCGCTTGGACAGCCATGTAAATAAGTCTTGTCTGGTGCCAAACAATCTGCAAGTTCATTATCTTCGGATTGAATCGTGACGTCGAGCAAGCACCGAACCAACGTTTCGGTTGACTCGGAAACATTACACCCGGCCCACCATTTGATCATACGAAGCGACCAGCGGCGAGCGGGCTGTGCGTACATGAATCGGTATTAGGCGCCGGCACGACGAAATGTGTGCGACTTAAACCAACTGTTGGTCCAGTGCTTGGAAACGTAGCCAGGGATCTCTTTACCATCTCTGTTAAGGCCACGAACGATGCAGTTGAGCAGGTTGTTGAAAACTTGCTCGGACATCTTCTTTCCCCAGCCTACGCCCACCTTTTTATAACCTGTTGCTGTGTCGTTTGTCTTCAGCACCTTTTTGCTAATGTTGTTCAACGCTGGGAAGACGTAATCATCATCACACCAATGATGTCCTTTACGCTGGGAAGCATAGTACACCCAGTTGACCAAGTGCAGGTATGCATTGATTGCAAGTTCGTCCTTGGACATGTGGTGCGAATTTTACATGCGTCCTTCAGTGACGGCCGTTTTGCGATTGAAGAGCGCATACGTCCCATACTCAATAACCTCATCCGGAGAAACGACACTGCAGTGGGTCTGGCGAAGAGTGACGCCCTTCCACTGGAGATCCAAAACTTCATTGGTGCGACACATGCCATAGAATGCGAAAGATGAAACAGCCTTGAACCACACACGACTTTCTTCGCTGAATCCCTCAACTCCCACAGGAGAATCCATGAACGCATGAAGAACTATGATCATATCCAAAGATATCGGAGCCGCTTTAGCTGGCACATACTCTGATGCTTTCTTCTTCTTGAGCCCACGCATGAATTGACGCACAAACGGGTCTCGAGCGAATTTCCGTATCCGCGCTTTTCTCCAGACTCGTCCTCGCGTACACTCCACGTGTTGACATCGGTTTCGTCGCTGTTTTTGGTGAGAAGAATAGTAGCTGGCGATCCCAGATCTCGTCTTCTCAGCTGTTTGCAGCAAAATCGAACTGGAAGCCGAGATACTCTGTAAATATGCTACCAAAGAGACTGGTAGTTCGTAGTGGCGCTCGTGCCAAGGGTCGGTGTAGCCGTTTGTAATGCAAAAATTGGAAAACTTCTTAAAACTGGCTTCGTAGGCAGTCTGCGTAGCCTTCTTGATCACCTCGTTGGCCGTATGCTGACCGTCTTTAGCCAACTCATGGATCTCCATCTCGCTCAGAGACGTCAGATTGAAACCTGACCATGTGTTGCATCCACGGGCCACGACTGGACCGTCGTACCTTTTTGTATGACTAGAACATTTTAGTATGAACGCGTACTTTTACATCTGACGCGTACTTTTCCGTAAGACTCGTTCTTTTCAGTATGAATCTTCACTCTCCAATAAATACCCACGACAAAAAGTTTAAAAAAAAATTGTGAAAAAATGTGTCAAAAAATCGTGATGCTGATTGGTCAAATAACACCAAACAACCGCTTTCTCTAGCTCGATTACTGCAAAGTCATTCGTGTAATTCGTATTATCGAAGTTCTCGGAGAAGTTTGGGTGGTTCATCACGGATAGGACACGAATATGCTCTCCGTCCACACTACCGTTGCGGTAGTGGGATCCAATTGCCACCCAACGCATGTCGAGGCTC